TGCTCCGCGTCGATTTACATATCGCGCGCCTGTCTCGAAGCATTCGCTCGCACGGCCAGGAATTACCGCGAAAACCAGGGGTAGCTTAGCTGCCTGCCGTGCCTCTTGAGGTTCTGAAACGCACAGGGGAGATGCCTCGATAAGTCTCTTGCTCGCACTCACCTGCGTGCTCGTAGGTATATCCAGTGCTTATCGTGCGATTTCTTCTCCCCGTGGGTTCTGCCTTTTCGCTCCTTAAGGTAGAAGCTGTGAAATTTTGGGCTGCTTTGATTCGCGATAGATTTGTACGAGATTCGCAGGTTGAAAACGAGATGCTTTTGGAAGAAGTTATGCTGGAAGCTTTGATTCGTGATAGATGTGTACGAGATTCGCTGGTTGAAAATGAGATGCTTTTGGAAGGAGTTATTTCTGGAATTAATGGCTGCTATATTAATGTTAGATCGCAGGCTACAATAATGATCTATGGAACAAGCAATTAATGTTCTCTGTACGTGAGAAGAACGTATTTGGAATACGCTTGTAGTCAGATTTACGCGAAATCTACCTTGTTACAGATAGAAAGGAAGTGTATCCCGGTAATAATATTAGTCGGGACACGGCGGCCAGCCATTTCCAATGCGCAAATGCGTAGAAACGCTGTACTATAATGAAACGAGTCGGTTTCGAGCATAATCCGCTCGTAAAGAACACGCGATATCGACGACGGAATAGTAATGCGGCTCGCGAGACGCGCACGGTAGCCGTGTAGCGTGACGCGGAGATTGCGCGTGGCTGGCCGAAGGAAAATAGACTTTTCAGCTCGGTGGTTCGTCCACGGTACCATTAGCCAATCGGAGATCGTACGTTATAAACGTAACTGCCCTACCCGGTGTTCGTAGCTCGGCTGAAAACGACCGGCTAAGTGGATATATCCCCGAAGCCTCGGTAAAAGGACGGAGGATTCGTCGATCGGTTTTACTTCCACTAAATACACGGATTTACGTTTCACACCAGCCGCGTTCTAACGCCGATCGTCGTTTTATCGGTCCTAAAAACCACCTCTGAACATTGTGCCACGTACGTTTCTCTCGCTTTCAGACCTGTGCTCGGGTGGAGGGAAAACGATTGTTGAATACCTATCGTTGAAGAGCGTTTCTCGATGTAAAAAACCTCGATTCGCGAAGGCGTAAATTGCCCGTGAAGAGAAAACGCGGTGTTTTTCAGCCGCACACGAGACGGTGCTCGTTATTATTTTTTAATTCTCACCGAGAGAGATCGATCAATGTTTATAGGATTTTTCGAGGGTCGACCGAGAGAGAGGCCGTACTCACCTGCTGCGTTAGTGGCTGCCTGTTGCCTTAACGACGCTCCGTGGACAGGTAGTGAACCAGAATACCCGTTAAACTATCGAGTTTATCGTCGAGGAGGCTATAAAATCCACGGCGAGAATCCTTACCAGGCTTCTCGCTCCTTCGCGTGAATTCTGACAGGATGAATAGTGGCCCGAGCCCGAAATTTCCACCTTCTTTTTATCATCGTTCCTCTTGTCTGGAAATAAAACTTGGGGATAGTCGATTTTTATCGGGAGCTTCCTCTCTCTGATTCTCTTCTCTCCGGCACAGCTCTCTTCCGCTTGACCAGGAGAGAGATTTGTCGTATCGTCGCGAATTTTCGTGAGAAAATTCGGCGTCTAGCTCACTGTGGAGGACACCTGTGCCGAACAGTGGACAAGAGAAACCGGCGTGGTCGAGATTTGCCGGTGAGACGCGCGGGATTTGTAAAACCCAAGGCAATCCGCGTAGTCTAAAGGATTATCCGGAAGAGTGGTCGTTCCTCGATCTTTACTCGTCTACAGACCATTGCCACGAATGGTACGCCCTTTTTCGCCCTATCTATTCACAAGATGCCCGCCAATCTTTCTCGTTGTATTGTTACGCCGAAAAGGTGGAGAACACGAACGAGTTGTCCCTTGGCGAACCTCGATACGCTCACCTCGAACAGGTACCTCTCTGTCCGTGTGCATTTGTAGCAGGATAATTAGCGCAAGTGCTGCTGGGCACGCAGGAAACAGAGGGAAGGATAGCGACAAAGAACAAATTCGCAGTGTGTTATACGCTTCGAAACTGTCCCGTGCCCCGAGACATCGGGATCAAAGCATGTCGCTACAGTTGTTTGCGTTTTGGTCTGCGAAAAAGGGACGTTCCGCGTGGATTTCAGAGATAACCGTGAAACAGTTATTCTTCATTACGTAGGATTTTTTATTCGCCAAGAGTTGCCGTGCTTTTTATTGCTGCTTTTACACTGCTTAATTTTCTTTTACTCCCAGAATCTCGTTCTATTTTCTACATTACCGAAGTTACCTTTCCTATTTTTTTTCTCTCGTTCGTATCACGGATCCGCTTTTGTTTAATTTAATAAACATTGAGCTTGCACTGGTGTGCAACTGGTTGCACCCGCGCGAAACAGTTGCAGTTTAGTGGACCATTGCTGAATTCTCGCGAAATCATCCATGTTAGGACGGTTCGAAGAGGCTCGAAAGTAGATACGTAGAAGGGCTGAGAATTTCATGGGTTTCTAGGGATCTCGAGCGTAATTTAACAGAGGTAGAGAGAGAGAGAGGGCCTGGAGAGGCGGCAGCTGTGCTTGGACGATGGCGGACACGGGACCACGGAGTCACGATAAACTCTCATAATTCACTTAGGCGATATCCTGGCCGTATAAAGCCGTCGGTTAGAGCGTGCGCGCGTCGGGAAATTCTCTATTGGATGCGAATGCCCGTTTCGTAACATTTGTATACGCGCGTGTACGATTATTCATACCTGGGCATTGTATGTGCTCAACGCGGATCTATCGTGCGTCGTAATATTCGTCGGGTCGGACAACAGATGGAAATTTTGATACACACCAGCTAGCTGACGGTAGAGTAATGAGTTCCATGTGCGTGAAATTCCTTCTGGCCGAGAGACATCGTTGGAAAAAAGTCGTCAGGCTGATAAGGAACGAAGAAATAGGAAGAATTTCGAATATTCGTAGCAATTATAAGAAGGATAATCTCGAGCACTCTTCTTTCACACTTCTGTCGCTGTAGCTCGAGCACTCTTCGTTCTTTGTTCACTTCGTCTATCGTGTAACAACTTTGTTCACTCGTCTATCGTTCCAGACTAAACACTCGAATATTAACCCCTTGATTTCTTTTCCTGACTACGCATCTGAGCGTCAGCTGTTTCCTGTTTTAGTACTATATTAAGTAAGATAAAGCTGATGTATTATAGATTAATTATACGGCAAGGGGTTAACCTGGACCACCTTCTATTATGCAGAAATGTAACACACAGCTGATTGATTATTTTCTCCTACACCTTCTATCTTATCTGTCAGAGATACTCCGAGCCGAAGTAGAGTGGGCGTAAAATGAATTAAACGCTTCTACGTTCTCGCAACGGTGTATTTTACACAAAGACTATATCCTTGTTGTCTGAGAGCCTCGTTCTCAAAAAGTATGCGTTCAACGGTCTTACAAAGAGCGAAGACGCGTCGTCCTGTCGATCCTTGTTCATTTCCCGCGCGAATCATGCATGAAAAATACCCAGAAGTGCGATTTTCTTACGTACCACAATTGATATTCACAAATTCCCGATCGTACGTGGAATCGAATAAGATTAAGGGAAGGTGGCGCAGTCGATCCGGTTGCCGGATGAAAGCAATCACGGTATCGCTCGCGATAACCGTGCTGTGTGTAATGATCTAGCGGTAACGCGATCCGTATTGTCGTCGGTGCTCCTAATTGCGAACTGTTTCAGCGTGCAATAGGCGCGCGACGTGCAATCTGGCAAGCGGCGATAGTCGGTGACGGTGGTGGTGATGGTGTGGCGGTTGCACAATAGATTCGGTTTGATGCATTGCCGGATGCAGAGAGCCGCGGTCCCGCGAGCGGATTGCTGTTCTCCGTCAAACGTCGTTCGCGTTAATAACTCATCGAAGTAAATAATAGCGTTTGCCAAGGTAGAGGACCGGAGAACGCCACTAACGCACCCTCTCCCTCATCCTACGGTTTGTCACCGACGAGATTCCGATTCATCGATCGGCTTCTGTCGTTAATACGCGTCCCGTTTATCTCGTTAATACGCCCCACCCACCACCGTCTATCTATTGTTATGAATTTGTAAACGGCCACCTCCCCCGTATCGACCGTTTCCCCCTATGAATCGTCGAATGATTGATGAGACACGGAATAACGTAATGGAGTAACCGGGAGAGAGAAAAATTTCACGCCGTTCGATACACGAATAGAGCGAATTATACGAGATAGATAGGAGCACCTATCTCCCTATGGTTCGAAAACTGAATACTCATCTTTATACCGAGTTGCCTAAACTTTCTAGAGAGTCTTGGAGGGACGAGCGTGACGAGGCAAGGGTTAGAAGATTGCGTTTCAAGTTTAGCGATCACGTTGGGAAATAGTTGTTTTCGATGAAATTATAACGTAATGTGGGATTTAGGAAAGTGTATTAAAATAATAATAATTTATTAACAAAAGTAAATAAAACGAAAATCAACTCAAAGTCTCCGCTCCTCCAAACCTTGCCCCAAACTGACACTCGTTCTTGCTTTTTTAAACACCTTTCTCAAGAAACGAACGAGCGTACTTGTATACAGTAATCGTATAAAAGAATACTTCATTTACTTTCTGCGGTTTGTTAAGGATACTTTAACTCTTGCTATATCGCGTCGTCGCTTATGTTCTCCACATGGCCCCAAGGTCCGCGATGTAAGTATTAAGAGCAGCTTAGAGACAGATTTAATAATCGGTTTAATTACAAGGGTGATTTACAAGCGAGCTTCGTCTAACGTTTATGTTAATATCCCTCCGCTTCATCAGCGGTGGGTCGTCTCGAAAGAGAAATGGTCCGGATCGCTGTCATCGGGTGTAATCACGCCCACGTCCCGTGTTTATACGGCCAACACGTTCCCAGAAATCTCCACCGACTGTGCTCACGATCGTGTTCACACGTTTGTTTCAGAAACAATGCGAACGTCGACGCCCCGGCCGCGGTACCCGCTCCGAGGAAAGAGCCACACGAAAACATCGCCCGGATAGCGAAGCGGTACCTCGATGATAACATGCAGCAGGCGTGGATCAATCCTCGTTTAATATCGATGGTGAGTGAATATAAATGCAACGATTATACGGCACGTTAGATGCTGTATACCTTGCCGTGGACGGTTCTCACGTTCGGAACTGTCATGGCGGATCCGTTATCCAAGGCGCGAGCAGATACGCTCTTGCTTTGGTTGTGTCACTTTTCGGTTAAGTGAAACGAACGGAGAGCTGTAGAATTTTTTTTTCTTTTTTTTTTTATGGGAAGTTTCTGAAATTTGTAAGTTTTTTCTGAAAATTCTTGCGAAAGTTCAAACTTTGTTCTGAAAATTCAAACTTTCGCCTCATTTCCAATTCCTACCCATTTTCTACGTGGAAGACGAGTTTCGTTCATTTTTCCCCAACTTTATATTTCATTTCTCTTTCATAAATTTCCACGGAAAAATTGCTAATTTATTTATCCAGAGAGGTACGACTCACACTATCGTTTCTTCGTCTATACAACGTCGTTTACATCTCTGGAAGCGTTTAAACAGTTGCGCGGCTGGGCAGTTGGAAGTAAGTAGTAGTAGGCGTTTCGAATACTACAGGAATGAAACTTGTTGGACGATAGAGAAACGATGCTTCATTAATGTCTACCTGGTCGACTCGTCGCGGAACGAACAGGTCTCGGGGATTAAGATGTGCATTCGCGGGACGTCTAATCGCTACGCGTGCACCTTGTAACGAGTCTGCATCCTCTTCTGCGTGATACTCAACTTCGAAGAACTTGATTCGATCTACCGGAGAGACGTCGAAGATAATACCGATAAAAATCCTAACGACTTCATTATGCCTCGTAAAACAGTGCGCGGTGTAAACGGTGAGAAATTGCGTGACGAGTAAAATAGCGAGGACGTTGTACGATCAATCACGTCTTATCTCTGAAATCCGAAAAGAAAAAAATCAAAAACCTGTGGTTAAAGCGAAAAGATTAAGTCTTCATATTGTTGTATTCCGCGGCTCGCGATTCCTTGCGTTGGTTTATTATTTTCAATAGGTACGCGGTAGGAGAGCCTGACGGAAACTGGGGCGAAATAAGGATGCTATTCTGCGCGTAGTACTATTCGACTTTATTCGACTGTTCGGTGACGTTCGGTGTGTGAAGGCCACTAGACAGAAATCTGGTGTTTCGACGGAAAAGGTTTCTAGATATAGGTTCGGTAAGTACGAGAGTAGGGGTTGGTCTCAGAGGTCAATGTAGGGAGAGGCGGTGAGGTCTAGGTTGAGCGATGAGTAAAAGTAGAGGATGATGTGGAGGTCTAGGTTTCGGGGTGACTAACGTTAGGATGATGCGGATTTGTTTACAGTTAAGGAAAGGAGGCAGGATGACTAAAAACTAACGAAAGATAGGAGAGAGGTATACGACAATATGGCGATCCGGCGAATATTAAAATTCACTCGATTCGACAGAACAAACACACCCGTCAAATCTGTCACGTTGTACCAACATCGTTTCAGAAATGGCGGACATCTATCAAAGAACTCTGAGGATGGCGAGCAGCGATACAGGAATCTAGAACCGGTCTAAACGAGGCACCCTCGTAGCAAATTACAAATGGCATCGTCGACTACTGACGGAAGTGGACTACTGTCGTGTATATGCCTGGAAACGAGTCCTCTCCAGTGGTACGATCGAATTGCCGGTCGAACGATGATCCGGTTTCACGGGGTAATCTATCCTGTGAGCGGTCCGATCATGCTAATAAAGCCGGCAGCTATAAGTAACGTGGAACGATCGTAAATCGTGCCAGGGCTGGTGAACACAAGTGCAACTCGCGCGACAGTAACCACGAGACGAGGGCACTTCGCCTCCTGGAACGATCGTAAATCGTGCCAGGGCTGGTGAACACAAGTGCAACTCGCGCGACAGTAACCACGGGACGAGGGCACTTCGCCTCCTCTCTCTCTCTCTCTCGCTCTGGAACTGTTGGAATGGTTTCAAGCGATTTGACAAATGCACGATACAGTGTGGCGAACGGATACCGGTGCAGACGGTAATGTTCATTATTTCGTGCGTGGCTCGTCGACTGTCACCGGTCGGGATATCTCCAGTTCCATTGGACGGTGCACGACAAAGTTGCAAACGAGGAAGATAGCGCGGTTGTTTTGCTATCGAGTTCACTTGTCTTTCGGCCAGTTTTCATTCTACTATCTGGCTGAGTGACGGACGTGAAACGATAATGGAAATCTACGGATAATTACGTATAGGAAATACGAAGCATCCACGAGTAGTAGCTACGTTGCGCCTGTTCGTTACGGATAAGGGATTACAAATGAGGTTTCAATGGTTTCCAATTCAGGTGTGTAATCGGTGAAAGAACACTGAACGAACATTGAAATCGCGATTCATCTCTGAAGGATCTACCATCGAGCTGGAATAGAGTTACAAGGTGTACGAGGATCGTTCGACGAGAGAATGGACGTTTTCCAATTCAGGTGTGTAATCGGTGAAAGAACACTGAACGAACATTGAAATCGCGATTCATCTTTGAAGGATCTACCATCGAGCTGGAATAGAGTTACAAGGTGTACGAGGATCGTTCGACGAGAGAATGGACGATGCACTCGATTACGCTATTGTGCGGTGTGCGCGCAGGTGTGCGAGTTATCGACTCGTCCTGGCGCAGGTAAACGCGTCGAGGATGTTACGTAAGGTTGTGGTAAGAAGGAGCAACGTGGAGGAAGGAGGCGGAGGAAAGGAGCTTCTCTGAAGCGAAGGCACGAAGGAGAAAAGAAAATAACGAGTTGGCGCAAGGGCCAGAACGTTACGAAACGACTCTACGTCGTCTATGCCGGCCGCACCAGCGATGATTGCTGTGCCTCGCATGGGCTAATAACAGCCGCGGATATAACGAAGGGTTATGTGGATCACAAGTTTGTTATTGGCTCGCTTAATGACTCGTCCACTCGTTCTACCTGTCTGCAGCCGAGTCTGCCGCGTGAATGCCAATCCGCCGTGAAACGCCGATACAACACGGCTCGCTGGCTCTGCCGCTGCTGCCCCGTGATCCGAATATACCGCGCACAAAGTGGAACGGGCAAGGCGGAATTTCAATAATCGTCCACGAACGAAAACGCCAACACCGCTGCAAAGGGATGGTCGTTGGCTCGAAACTGTACATTTTCCAGGAAATTTTACAGACTTCCCTACTATCGTTCCCGCGTATCGTATCCCCGCACAAATATCACGTTCATTCGCGATAATTAGCGTAACTTGATCTTTCAATTACGATTCCCCGAATAAATCACCGACACGTTTATCCTTCTGGCTACAGTCACGAAGCATAGAAAGGGAACGGTAGTATATGTCTATGTATAGGTGTGTATTTAGCAGGGCGATTGGTAGGACGTCGAGGAAAGTTAATTAAGGAACCGGACGAAGCAAGATTCATTCGCAGTCTCGCCAGCCGTTTAATAATCTCGAAAACTCGGACGATTAGGAGAAGGTGCGCAGGGTGGGCCGTATGGCGTATGTATACGCACACATCTCTACGTGCCTAAGTGTATGGTAGACGTGTTATACACAGAGGAGCGATCCCGTCTATCTCGACGCGATTCCCCGAGTGCCCTGCACTCAGTTCCTCTAATAACAATAATAATAAGAAGGGATGGAGGCCCGTTTTAATCAGAGGGTCTGCCTGCCTGACGTGATTAACTCGAAGAGCCCAGGGAAGAGGAGATGGGAAGAGGGAGACAGGACAGGGGGTTCGGGGTGGTGGATGGTGCTGTCATTTTCGGTGTTTATCATATCAGCAAACTAGAAGGGGCTTCGTTTCGTCGCCTCCGTTCTACACGGAGGGATGGGGTTAAATCTTGGATTTCACGGCCGATTTGCACCTCCCCTCCACGTTTTTCTCTCCGTTGGTCACGATCTTTACCCTTCGCTATTACTCAACCGTTCGAGCGTAGAAAACGAACGGAGTGCCTCCTCTCTCCGTCCCTTTTATTTTCGTCGCGCGGCCGTTTCCCGGTCGGCAGGAGATAGTACAAGTATTGCGTAATGTTAATGTACAGCCGCTGGCTTTATCGGGACGGCCATAAATCGAGGCCGGAGCGCGACGACGGCCCGAGTAATAAGGGAAAAAGGCGGATAATTAAGTCCTGTCCGGTCGGGTAAATTATTTCTTCGGGGATCGATCGACGTGTGCATGCGTTCGATACGCGAGGATACTTTAGATCCAGGAAGATATTTCTTGCTGCTGTTGCTGCAACCACCGTGTAGTAGCATTTCACTCCTGAGATTTATTGCGTTTCGTTTTGTATCGAGCGAAGAAGAGAGAGATTAAATAATAAATGGGTCCAGTTTGATAAATAAGAAAGAATACGGTTTGGTCAGGTTTTCATTCATAGAGTCACCGCTCTAATCTATTAGAAATTTTCAACGTAGCTCCTGTAAGATCTGGTTGCTTGCTCCATCGACGAGAGAATGTAACAAGGTTGCTACCCCCTATTGTTCGCGATTTTTACCGTGGACAATTTAAAAAAGAAGACCCAAAGATGAATGCCATTATGTGTGTGCTATTCAAAACGAGCGACTAGGGAGGAAGAGAGAGAGAGAGAGAGGGAGGGTGAAAGAGAGAGGAGAGGCAGGCCTCCTCGAAACAGCGGAGGAGGATTTTACTTCGGAGACGTCGCTCTTCTTCCCGGAATTAAAGTCATGTCTATGGGGTTCCGACATTGAGAACGTCTCCGCTATTTCTCTTCCCGGCCCCCAGCCTCCTCGCGTCTCGCGCTTTACTTTGGACGTCTAATTAACAAGGTTTTCCTGAGGGTTTTCAAGGCGTCTTGCTACCGACAAGTAACCGACGAGGCAGTAAATACCGTCGCGCGGCAATCGCGCGGCAATGTCTACCCCCTCGCTCTCGCGCTCTCTTCATTTTCCCTCTTCCTTTTTGTCGACCAATCCCCTACCATCCTCCGCTGATCTTTCCCAAATTTTTCGATAGAACACCTCCTCCGATATATATCTCTGTCTACGTGCACGATTCCGCAGCGACAGTATTAGGGGAGAGGTGGGTCC